TTTTTCTACTTTTTCTTTTATATTCATATCATTTGTCAATTGTCATGTGAAAAGTACCTTTAGTTTTTACCTAATCACAATATTTGAGTAGATTTTGTAATAATGAACAATGAAAGTTGTAAAAGACAAACGCAGTTCTACATAAAAGAAAGATGTATTATAGATCTGAATATCGAATTTCAACTATCTTAGAAACAAAGTCTTTGAGGAAAAACGAGTTGTTCGTGAGCTCGGTTCTATTCAGTTCGTTTGATAAATAAGTCGAGCTCATTGAAAGCTCGTTCAGCAAACGAACCGGAGTCGACTAACTTTGTTAATATATAATTTTCTATAGTTAGACTCGTTAATTTTTCTACCTTTTTTTTTTCAGTTAGAAGCCATGATCACAAGTAAAGGACATGAGCTAAGGGATGGAGGCATGTGAACGGTAGATGTTAATGTTTTTGGACCCTTTCCTTCAAATATGCCATGAAAATTGTGATAAAATAGATATCTATCTTCTTTTTGTCTCTGCTTGTCTGGTTTATTTTATTTTATTTTTCATTAATGTTTTCTCATGCAATATTAAATCGTGTTGCTTTTATTTCATTCCTCCTGTATTGCTGTTGGTTTTAATTGGAGATTTTTTTATTTTTATTTTTTTTTTTCAATTTTTGGTCTGATGTGATTGATCTGCTTGAAATGTCCTTTTAATAGGCTGTACGATTTTAATTTTTTTTACTACTGATGATGAATGAAATTGAAATCAGCCTAACCAATGGACATTGTTATATAATTAAAAGAATTACTCGAGAGAAAGGAGACATAATAAACGTTTCAATTTCACAATTATTTCATAAAAAGAATTTTGGGTTGGGAATATAATCATTGGGGGAATCTAATTGTATCTTATTTTTTGAATAAAAGTATAAATATTTAACCTATTTGATGTCTATCTTTATGTTGGGAAATGCTACGGTCCCGTTACGGTACCATCCCATTGAATGTTTTGATCATTGGATTATCTATATTATATTAACTACATGTGTATCAAACAGTCAAAACATCCGACGGGATGATATCGTAACGGGACTATAGCATTTCCCGTTTTTATTTATGTTGTTTTTTTAGTGTATGTAATTAAAGTTTGAAATTATCCATATCTCTCGCGAAAAAAATAAAACAAGTCTAACCATTGGGTTTGACTAATATCTGTTGAAAATTTTGGGTTCAAGAAGCCTTCCTAAAATTTATGGCGCATTTGGAATGCACAAAATCACAGAATTTTTAAAGGAGAAGCGTCGTCGTGTGTGGGTTGTTGAAAGAAATTGAAACTTGGAACAGTAATGTCTCCGCAATTACTAGGGGAGAAAGACGGTTGGGTGGGTTCGGGGTCGGACGGGAGATGGTGCACGTGAGATGGAGGGCTCCTGGGGGGTGGATTAAAATGAATTCTGATGGCTCATTGGCTCCTTTAACTCGTCATCGGGGATGGCTAGCGCCGGTGGAGTACTACCGACCATTTTGGCCGGTGGTTGAAGGATTTTACCATGAATATCAGTTTTTGCTCCATTACAAGGACGGAATTATGGGGGCTTCTCCAAAGGCTCCAACTAGCATGGAACTCGGGTTATCGTCGAGTATTTGCGTAAGTAGATAGCTTATGTGCTTTCTCGATGATCCAAAGTGTCAATGTTGAGCAGGGATATATAGGGCTTTAATCTTGGCTATTAAGAATTTGTTGATGAGGCAATGGTCGGTGAAGGTATGCCTGGATTTCGAGAGTCCAACTTTTTTGCGGATTGCATGGCAGTGGCGGATTTACATATCCACTAGGGGGGGCATT